GCAGCAAATGTGGAGGACAAGGACATACATGGTTCCAGTTATATCTGTTTCACTTGTTGTTGCGCTGTTTTCTATTACGAGCGGCAAAATACCCCCTTAACTTTCTGCTATCCTAACACATGTTCTCACAGAATTTCTGAATGAATCAATGGACTTTAATGTCCGAGATCATATATAAATATTCTATTGTTTTGTATAATACACTGAAAAAAGATTTTATTTGGGAAGAAAAACAACCTCAGTAGAAAAAGATTTAATTGTAGAAAAGTCTATGTACTAACAAATCAAACAGTTCGGAATAATAGTTTATATAATAATAATTTTAATTTAGTGGAAAATTCTTAACTTCTAGGCCTACATAAAAGAATGCAGCTTTAAAAGTATTCACTGACGTTATAATCCCTTGATTTCCTAAACGGCAGGACATTCGGACAATCATAACATTTCCAGCTGCCGTAATTGTTACAAATTATTATTTAAGGTGTTGCACTCGATTATGTTTAACTTAAAACAAGATATATCGACAAAAAAATGTCGAAACATCTTCGCTTACGCTGAAAATTACCCATATTTTAAGAGCACTCGATTTTAGTAATGAGACAAAAACGTCTAGAAGTATTATGAAGCCTAAGTCTTAAAAAAAATTAAATAACTAGTCATAATATAAAAACCTCTGTCCTAAACTTAGTTAATCACTAGTGCTCCACGAGGGGCCCCCAGAAATACTTGCTTATCCTGTTCTCGTCCTCCGTCAGGAAGAAGTCCCTGCCTTGCTTGACGAATTCTTTCTGTGATATCTTGCCGTCACCGTTAGAATCGATAGCTCTGAAAGCCACGATAGCGTCTTGGTCTTTCAGGCCCAACACGTTGAAAAATAGTTTGAATTCTTCCACGGTTATTTCGCCGGACTTGTCTTTATCGACAGCCTAGAAAAAAAGCATATAATGTAGACGTCTACAGATAATAGTGCTGAAAAAAGCAGGCCAAGGTTAACCGGTCTCTTTGAGTGAAAATATTCTCAATACGCACTGAACACAAAAGTGCAAATGACAAAAACGCTGTAAAAACGATGATTCTTCAAAATAAATATTTTGGTTTTGATGAATTTTGTTGCACTGTTTGTGTTGAATGACGTTATCTATCAAATAAAGAGTTGTATTGATTTGGAAAAATATTCACCAGTGGCAGTTATAAACGTTTAATGTCGTTCAAATGAAGTATCAGAGAAACAATTTAATATTAGGTATGGTTTTGTGGCATTTGAAAAAGTATTTACAAGGTACGTTCCAAAGTAAACAAGACTTTTTTAAAATACGTACACACCAATTTATTTTATGCAAAATAGTCTCCTTCCGAGTCAATACAGCCATCTGCACGATGTAAAAGCGTGTCAAATGAGTTTTTAGATCGTCGGCCGAGATACCTTTCAGGATATCGTCTAAGTCCACAAAATGTTTTCCGAAAATATAAAAAAAGGCACAGTAAAACACTTCAAAATGCCAAGATAGTGTGACTTGATGGATTGAACTCTTTGTGGATAATGCCCTTGGAATCGAAAAGCAGAACAAACCGTGCACACACTTTTCGGTAGCCCAAATGTTCGGCCAAAATGTGATAAATAAGGCACGACATTTCAGTTTGGAAGCAGGAGCGTCCGCGCGTGGTTTACCTAGTGCGGTTATAATAAATAATTTTATAATATTGTGGAATGATTACCCGGTTCCGTATTAAAAATCTGAATGATGGCATTCCCTCGTTTTTAATAAAACGTGGATTACCGGCTTTAATAGAACCACTAACTTTCTTGATCAACTTATCATTTCAGACTGGAGTTTTTCCGGAGATACTAAAAATAGGGAAAATAATTCCTGTTCTAAAAAAGGGGGATCCACAGTTATTAAATAATTACAGGCCTATTACTGTGTCCTGTGGTTTCTCAAAAATTTTTGAATACGCCTATCTAGATAGACTAATGTCGTTTATAAATAAATATAGTATTTTAACCACTCATCAACATGGATTTCGNGCTTTTTATTGTCTTAATGATTTGTTTATGTATTATTTTAATTTATTTTTTCCTGAGCGTAAATGCTCTATTAATGTTCAGAAAAAGATGTGGATAACTAATGAAATTATCGAGTCTAGTTGTAATATAAAAGATTTATATTACTTAAAACAAACATATCCCAATTTAGACTCCACTTATAAAGAAAATAAAAAAAAGCATACTATATTAATTCGCGAAACAAAGAAACTATTTTATCAAAATAAAATTTGCAATTCCAATAATTCCATACGCACTGCGTGGAATATTGTTTCTGAATTATCTAATAAAAAAAAAGAGGAATCGAATATTGTAGCTATCCAAAGTAATAATAAATTAATAGACAATCCTTTAGAAATTGCTTCAACTTTTAATAGTTACTTTACTGGCGCTCCAATGAATGTTGTAAATAAAATTCGTGGTTCTGATCATACTGCAAATTATACAAGTAGAGTAAATATAAATGATGTATTTTTGGATAATACAATTTTTCTTTTTCCGTTTACTGAGCAGGAATTGTTTAGAGTGCTTAGTCAAAAATTAAAAAATAAAAGGTCAGCTGGAGCGGATGGCATTCCCTTGTTTTTAATAAAACGTGCATTACCGGCTTTAATAGAACCACTAACTTTCTTGATCAACTTATCATTTCAGACTGGAGTTTTTCCGGAGATACTAAAAATAGGGAAAATAATTCCTGTTCTAAAAAAGGGGGATCCACAGTTATTAAATAATTACAGCCCTATTACTGTCTCCTGTGGTTTCTCAAACATTTTTGAATACACCTATCTAGATATACTAATGTCTTTTATAAATATAGTATTTTAACCACTCATTAACATACATACAATCAATATCAGACAATGCTATGATATCCGAATTCCTTTTGCAAAATATACCATAACAGCTAATTCACCAGATTGTTTGGGATTTAAGATGTATAACCATTTACCGAGTGAACTCAAGACTGATAAGATTACAATATCTCAATTTAAACAAAAACTGAAATAATTTTTAGTAGATAAGTGTTTTTATTCTTTATTGGAATTTTTGTCTGCTGTTGTGTCTTAGGTTAAGTTATTATATGTTTATTTGAGTATTGTTATACAATCCTTTTTTGTCCACAAGATAAATAAATAAATAAATGAGCTCTGGCAAATATATCTGGAACATTATGTGTTACAAAAGAATAGTAATAAATCACGAGACACTTAAAAAATTTCTCGAGGCAAAATTTCATCAAATTCAACAAATTCAATAAAAAAAAATTATTAGTTCGTTGATATTTATTTTTAGACGTCGCTCGAAAACATAGGTACACTACTTTGAAAGTTAAAATAATTATGAGTGACCTTTAGAAATTAAAATATCGATTTGAAATTTTCAGAATTGAGATTTTTTTTCAACTTTGAAAATGATAAAATAACGAGAAGAGAAATTTAAAAAAAAAATTCAATTTTTGAGTTTTTAAATTTTTAAAAATCTTGAGCGACCTCAAAAAATTTATTTGAGCTGATTTTTTGAGGGGGCTCTTAAAACATGATAAACTAACATATTTTCACAAGCGACACGAAAAAAATATTTGTTTTTTTTGGGCTACCCTAGTCTGCAGTAGATTCTTTAAGTGATATCCGCAACGGAGAAAAAAATTTCTTATATAACGAAAACGATTGGTCGACATCTAATGACATAGGTGCATATTTGAAGTAATCTCTAAAAGCCGTTAATGATTCCGTGGGAGCACAATTGCTATGGAGGCGTCTTAATCTGGAGAAATCTGTATTTTTTCTTAAAACGTTGTCAAACTTGTCTCCGACCCAAACACTTTCCTCGTCACTTAAGGCATATGGCATATAGCACTATTTGTATGTCATCTACTATTTGCAGTGATTCATCTAACGATAAAGGTAAGTTCATGCAGTAGCGATTTGCNTTCATCAAATTCAACAAATTCAATAAAAAAAAAAAATATTAGTTCATTGATATTTATTTTTAGACATCGCTCGAAAACATAGGTACACTACTTTGAAAGTTAAAATAATTATGAGTGACGTTTAGAAATTAAAATATCGATTTGAAATTTTCAGAATCGAGATTTTTTTTTCAACTTAGAAAATGATAAAATAACGAGAAAAGAAATTTAAAAAAAAATCAATTTTTGACGATTTTGGAAATTTTTAAAAATCTTGAGCGACCTCGAAAAATTTATTTGAGCTGATTTTTTGAGGGGCTCTTAAAACATGATAAATTAACATATTTTCACAAGTGACACAAAAAAAAAAAATATTCGTTTTTTTTGGGCTAGTCTCTGCAGTAGATTCTTTGTGATACCACAACGGAGAAAAAATTTTCTTATATAACGAAAACGATTGGTCGACATCTAATGACATAGGTGCATATTTGAAGTAATCTCTAAAAGCAGTTAATGATTCCGTGGGAGCACAATTGCTATGGAGGCGTCTTAATCTGGAGAAATCTGGATTTTTTCTTAAAACGTTGTCAAACTTGTCTCTGACGCAAACACTTTCCTCGTCACTAAAGGCATATGGCATATAGCACTATTTGTATGTCATCTACTATTTGCAGTGATTGATCTAACGATAAAGGTAAGTTCATGCAGTAGCGATTAACGTTTTCGGATTTCAATTTGATTGGTTGAAATAAAATATTTTTGACATCCATTTCTTCATTTCAATATATTGCGAGAATCGCAAAATTTAAATATAGGGGGCGGGAAAATAGAAACAGTTTCAATTTTTGGTGATTATCGCAATAATTTTGACAAACAGCGCATGTGCAGTCCGGCCAGTTCTGTCATTAAAAGCAATTAAAATACTTATTAGTGTCATGTAACCTCATCTCATTTCCATTACCAAATTATGATAAGCGCCTAGAGGCCTGTTTTTTGCAAGTACTTTTGAACTTTTCACTTTTCTGGTTATATCTTCTGTTTTCAAAATTAATATACAAAAAACAGATGGTATTGATGGTAATCTGCATGATGAAAATGAATAGGTAGCTGAAGCTTCTTAAAACGTATAACATTTATGTTTATACGGGAATTATTCTTCGCTTTTCTACATTTGTAAAGTGAAAAGTTTAAAAGTATTTTAAAAAAAAATTCTCCGGTCTTTCCTTTTTTAAAATAACGCTCTCACGGCACAAGATCATTTCTGAATTCTTTTTGTTTTGCTTATAAAAAACTAAGCGATTAACATGCAATCATCTTCTACGCTATTGACAATAAATAACATAATGATTATCACTGTTATTTATCACAAAAATATTTTGTGAGTTTAGGTTATGTTGTTTAATTCTGTTTACCCAAGAATATCTAAAATTCTTGACTGTGGCATGGCATGGCAAGGCAAGTGACACAAGAAATTTAAAAGTAACTAGTTTTCGCGAATGTGCATGAAGGAATGTTAAATTTTTGTCGCATAAATCATAAAATCATAGCGTCCCCGATTGGAATGTAATTGTTGTGAACATTTTCCAACTGTGCTTCAACTCGATTATCTTGAAATTTTATTTGGCTCTTCCGAATATACAGCGGATTCTTTGGCATCGAATTGTAAAATAACTTTTTGAAAATGTTTAAAAAAAAATAAAATGAAGCCTCCAACCATGTCCCCCATCGTGTAAGAATGTGTTGTGGAGGTTCTGAAATGCCATCGCTAAAGAAAGAACAAAAAACATAGTGAGATTCCCCTTCACGACACCCCTCTTACACGGACACCTCTCTTGGACAGACAGTTTCTCTCCTGACCAACTCTCGTATAATTTTCATTGTGTTAACTCCCTCTTGGATGGACATTCCCTAGAATGGACGCGGACACAAGAAAATATTCTTTTAAACACCCAAAAAACAAAATAAAAAGGAAACAGTTAAAAATTGCTTCCGTAAAGCAGGATTTAATCATGAAAATATGCAGTGAAGATCAGTTAACTGAGGATGTTACAACTGATCCAAAAATAAGAATTTGTTGGAATTGAGTGATAACGAAAACCTTAATTTTTTGAACCAATCCAGTTGAAGTATAAGAATTTTCCGAAGATTCTGATGTCGATGAGGTTCCAGTACCAACAGAGGCTATACCAAATTATGGTAAAGCTATTATCCTAACCAATCAATTTAACAGGGTTCTCAGCAATTTTTCAAAACCAAATTCCCTGACATTTCCAGGTTTTCCCTGACATATATTTTTAAAATTCCCTGACAACAAGCAAACGAAATTTATATTTTTAAAAACTTAAACCAAAATAAAAACAAGTCAAATGATAAGGTATAAATGGGACCATTTGATGACAAATAAATTACATGAATACTTTTAATTTTATTAAAAATATTTAATTCAGCATTAAACATATATGATGTTAAATATTAACAAATATAAATATCTAACAAGAGATTTAACAGAAATGTCAATAAATACAACAAAAAACAATAAAAATAGATTTCANTTTTATTTGGCTCTTCCGAATATACAGCGGATTCTTTGGCATCGAATTGTAAAATAACTTTTTGAAAATGTTTAAAAAAAATAAAATGAAGCCTCCAACCATGTCCCCCATCGTGTAAGAATGTGTTGTGGAGGTTCTGAAATGCCATCGCTAAAGAAATAACAAAAAACATATAGTGAAATTCCCCTTCACGACACCCCTCTTACACGGGCACCTTTCTTGGACAGACAGTTTCTCTCCTGACCAACTCTCATATAATTTTCATTGTGTTAACTCCCTCTTGGACGGACATTCCCTAGAATGGACGCGGACACAAGAAAATATTCTCTTAAACACACAAAAAAGAAAATAAAAAGGAAACAGTTAAAAATTGCTTCCGTAAAGCAGGATTTAATCATGAAAATATGCAGTGAGGATCATTTAACTGAGGATGTTACAACTGATCCAAAAATAAGAATTTGTTGGAATTGACTGATAACGAAAACCTTAATTTTTTTAACCAATCCAGTTGAAGTATAAGAATTTTCCGAAGATTCTGATGTCGATGAGGTTCCAGTACCATCAGAGGCTATACCAAATTATGGTAAAGCTATTATCCTAACCAATCAGTTTAAACATTTTGCTGCTTTCCAAATTAGAAATACGATTTCTAGACGCCATTTTAAAGAAAAAGAGACGAGACAAACAGCAATATATGAATTTTTGCGTCATTAAAGAGATATTTCATTTCATTTTATGTATTACTATATTCTATTATATTTTGTATGAATTTTGTAAGGAAACAAATCCTGTTTTTTTCCTTAAGTTTATTATTTATTTTAAATAACGAGCGTTCAAATAAAAACGTGGTCGAAGTTGGCTCTGACACATTGGACGTAGGGAGTAGCTTATAGCGACCAACTTAACCTCATTTCTCAACGAGCTGTATAGCAGCTGTCAGTTTNTAATTGTTTGTTATTGTTATCACGATTATTCTTTAAAATAAAGTTATATAGTCATTAACGTTATTGAAATTGACAGCTGCTATACAGCTCGTTGAGAAATGAGGTTAAGTTGGTGGCTATAAGCTACGCCCTACGTCCAATGTGTCAGAGCCAACTTCGACCACGTTTTTATTTGAACGCTCGTTATAACTTTAATGTATTTATTATAGGATTTGGACAACATTTCCTTAAATATTTTTTCTCAAATGAGCAATTTCTGTGTTTGTCTATTTTCTTGAAGAACTGTTTGCAAATTATTGTTTTTTTCAATGGCTTTATGCCGTTTAACATGTGCTGCACTATTGAAATGGCTGGAAACAGCACGTCGACCCAAATTGCTTAATTCAAATGTTTTATAACATAAACAACAATGTGCCTGATATTTATTTTTTTCTACCGACTTCCGACTTCAAATACTTTTTCCACTGTACTGGAGCAAGTTTTTCATCAATTCAGTTGTAATTAAATGTCGTTTTTCGTTGAGACATTTTTCTAACCTAAAAAATGAAAAAATAAAATACATACTACAATTAATATATTTTCAGCTTTTTATTACCTTTTATAAACAGCACGTAAATTGTAGAAAAAGTACATACAGAACGTACAGATTTTTTTTCTATGAAAACAAATTTGTTTATAGTGTTTTGTAGAATTCAGAAATACAAGCTATAATTTACTACAATTTGTAAATCGTAAAACAGACAGCACAATCACCACGCAATTTATCTTTATCCTTTTTTACATACCCGCTCACAACGTTCTCTCTCACTGGTATGCACTCCAGATATATCCTTTTCTTTCTATTGATCTACGAGTACGTGTGATTAAAACAGATAGAAATAGGCAACTGGGTGCGTTCAATAAATAAAGAATTTAGACGCGGCGTGAGTGGCGTTCAGAAATTTTCCCTGACGACATTAAAAATTCCCTGATTTTTGACGAATATTGGCACTTTCCCTGACGTTTCCCTGACACAGCTCAAATTCCCTGACATTTCCAGGTTTTTCAGGTTTTCCCTGACGCTGAGAACCCTGTTTAAACATTTTGCTGCTTTCCAAATTAGAAATACGATATCTGGACGCCATTTTAAAGAAAAAGAGACGAGACAAACAACAATATATGAATTTTTGCGTCATTAAAGTGATATTTCATTTCATTTTATGTATTACTATATTCTATTATATTTTGTATGAATTTTGTAAGGTAACAAATCCTGATTTTTTCCTTAAGTTTTTTATTTATTTTAAAAACATTTACATACGTATACGTTTTAAATGTCCCAATTTCTTTAATTACGGTTTTCATTAAAAAAAACGATTTTTCTTTTTCATATTTCTTTTAGGCGGACACCTCCCTTGAAGGGACACTTTCCGTCGGACCCATTGGTGTCCGCCCAAGGGAGATATCACTGTATCTGATACACTGCGACGCGATGTGACCCGATACTAACCTACCTACTGCTGTTGTTAGGATGCCGATTATTGCCGATTCCGGTGCTGCAGCGTGGCGTACCTACCCAGCCGTACGTTAGTGGAAATGAACTAAAAATGTCGTGCCTTAGTGATAAACTGCTGTTTTTGAGATGCTCAATTCCAATTCTATGAATTTCATAGAAGATTTTGGCTGATCTTTGATGAATTCACTTACAGTTTTGATAGAATCTGCGGTAACCCCATATTTTGGTTGGGCAACATGTTGCTCATCATTTATGTCCTCACGGCCGTTTTTACACCGCGTATATCACTCATGAACTGTGCCACGGGATAAACAATCATCACAATAAACTTGGTTCACCAATTGAAACGTTTCGGTAAAAGTTTTACCATGTTTAAAACAAAATTTAATATCAACTTTTTATTCGATGCTGATTTTTGTACCGATGACACAAACATACTGTCACTTCAGATGCAATAACTCCAATGTCATGAAATTTTGACAGTACATCAGTGAAGGATCTACCTTTCCGATGCCAATAGATGGCCTCACTAGAAATACCTATTTTCGAAAAGTCCTGTTTACTTTGGAACACACCTTATATGTAAAATTATTTTTAAAAGAAGCGACTTACCTTGAAAAGGTATGGTAAGAAGGAATGTGCTCGCCTAACTAAGCATTTGTCATTTAGAACATGATGCATATTCTCTAAATACATTTCAACTGTAACTAGGTTGTATGGTGACATTTCACCCCACTGCTTTTCCCATAGTTCCTGCAATATGAACAAATTTTGTAGAACTATCTCTTATAACTCTGGACAGCAACAACAATGCAATATTTAATACTCTCCTGAATATTTACAACTGAATTACTAAAAAATTATTAGTTATTGCTCATTTCTCAGGGATTTATTAAATTTTGTATCGGTTGACAATTACGACTACCGTAAAAATAAAATCGTCACTCACCGTAACTAATTTGTGAAATTCCTTGACCTGCTGTTCACTCAAGTTACCCAAATTGACGAATCGCTCAGCCAACAATTTGAAGTCCTCAAACGATATCACACCGTCTTTGTTTAAGTCTAGGATGCCGTGGAAGGTGCGTATTTTCCTACGCCAAAAGTCTGTCTCTCCCTAAGAGAAACAAAGATGAAATTTATAAATCATTTGATCGAAAAATTTGTTTATTTTAAGCGGTATAAAGGACAAGGACAATTGTTTTGCAATGCTGGAGTGTTATAGTGAATTCGGATAAAAAAAAATTTGTGCCGATGCATAGCAAATTTCGTCAAGGTAGACTGCTATCTGCTTTGCACCTGTTTTAGATTTTAATTAGCCTCGTTTTTATCGATTCAACGACTTATAAATAGGGAAATGAATAGACATCCTATCATGTCAATAATTTTAAGTGGAGAACACTACGTTTCACGTTTGGAATAACGTTTCAACGTGTAAATGTATAATGCTTAAAAGTAGTAGTTATTAATATGTTCACACTTGCATTCATATTTAAATATCAGTTAGACCAGATTTTGTAAAAAAAATAATAATGACAGTATAGGATTTTTATCTGCAAACACTCATACAAAATGATTACTTAATATTACAAAATTTGTCAACAAATAAAAAGGTAGGTAATGAACATTATTCAAAAATTGTTTTCTGACCTTGAAAGAATAAAATAATATCAGATGGTGTTTTACTGAATATTTTACGACACGAATTGAATAACAGCAAAACAACACGTAATTTACTGCCTTCTTGTCTAATTATAAAAACAAAACCTCTTACTAATCTGTGATAAAACTGTGATTGAACTTAAATGTATTAGATTTGGTATCGACTTATACCTCTACGGGAAGGTGAAAGACTGGTGTCGGAACTATGTACTAATAACGAACAGAAAAAATTGAAAATACAAGGGCAGATGCTAGAATGAGTATATGTACTTGCAATTACTGAATAATACTTTACATACATATAAAACTCATATTTACTTATTATTAACTTGTAGAGATATTTACCTAGTCTTTTATCCCCCTACATTACATACTTTAAATATACCTTGAAACCCGTACCAAATCTAGTAAATATAATATAATAAGAACAACGATAAAAAGTAGTTAATTGTACATTCAAGTTTCAGGAAGTTTATAAATATAATTAGTCCGACAATGTCTATTTAAAGTGCCGAAATTACCTGAATTCAAATGGTTGGACAGCATTTATAAATATTTTCATTACATAATTATAAATGAAATAATTAGTTTTAGGGCTGAAGCAGGTTGCAAGCACATACTTCTATTGCGAGTAGGTAAATTTGAGGTTATAATTTAAATTGGGACGAAAGAAACTCGTGTGCGAGGAGGAAGAAGAAATGTAAAGTTTGGGCAAGAATAGCTGCTTTCCAATTATTGCCACAGAAAGAACTGCTCCTGAAGTGATCTACTATTCTACTCCTTAAACTTAAACAATTGGAACACTTCCGAGAGAAGCACGTAAATATTTAAACAATTTTCAAGTATTTCTTTTTTAATACTGTGAGCCAAAAGCCAGGGTCTAATATAAATTTCATTTAGTAAAGGATCAGTGGCTCAAAATAACAGCCATAGTGAAACATAAAAAAATCCTAGTTCCACATGGTGCAAACAATTTGAGAGTATAAAGCTCATCATCAGTAAAAAGTGATGCTTGAGGGGGCAGGGAAAAACAAACAGGAACACTGAGAGTAAAATGTTCCAACTGAACGGAACGCAAAGAGCTAATTTGAAGTGTCTCCAAAGTACATTTTTTGTCAATTGGAAAGCAGCTATAGAAGCATAGTATGTCAAATTGTCGAATTCTTGTTCTATGAAGAAGAAGAAGAAGAAAATACAGTAGATTATATTTGGGAAATATCACTAGGTTGCACTCCCGCTCAAGATATAGGAATCAATCGAGGGAATATGAGTAACCAATCAGATGCACTTCACGGTGCATTCCCTTATAAAAAAAACAAGTACATAAGAAGCTGGCTAAATACCCTCTGGGTGAAGGCCAAAAAAAAGAAGAAGAAGAAATATCACTAGGTTATGTTAATGATAGTGACTTTTTTAAATGATTAGATGTATGTGATTAATATCTAAATTTTTTAATGTTTTTTTGCCAATAAAAACATTTGATTTCTTAATTTTCCTTTTTTCTTAAATATGCCACTGGTTTTGTGCGTTTGCTAGTTTGGCTACTTTATATTAAATATGTACTACACAGCGAAAATTTTTAAGGAGACATTCATTTCAAGTCTGCATAATTTTCCGATTTTCAAGTAAATAAAAATCTAACAACTAAGCGGTTTCTCATAATTAAACATAAACATTGTTTATTTACCAACAAGGTCGTTGACTTGCAGAAAGGTTAGCAAAACATTATATTTTCATTGGGAATCCGAGGTTAAACATATTAGCAGGGAATTTGGGCTAAAGAGAAAGATAGCTGAGAATCTATTTATATATAATATATATTTCAGAATTAACAATACGATCTAAATATTGCAAGAATTTGTGTATCAGTTTATTCAAATAAAAAAAATGTCAATGCGATTTTAATATATCATTTAACAATATTTGTTATTTCAATTAAGTAATATAATACGGCACAAAATATTCTTTAAAATTGACCACCCTCACCAGGAAAATTCAGGTACAATAAAGTTACAGTTAGGCAATTTAAAAAAAAAAACTCGACTTACCCTATGTCCAATCCATTCTAAATCACTATCTGATTCAGAATCAGACTGAAACTTCCTGTCGGCATATTTCGCTTGTTTGCTGTATTCCCTGGTGGACAAATGGCCTTGTCTGAAAGCTGTATTCGCCAGGGGTGTACACTTACATAAAGCGGGCTGAAAAATTACGTTAGCTGTAGTATAAACAAATAATTAAATATTTTATTATATTATTATTTATTATGCTCATATGCTTTGCTAAAATTTAATGGCACAGTGTCGTAAATTAATAAAAATGTGTAGGGATCGTTTTGTTTTCAAGATACGGGATATTCTAATTTATTATTATAAGTAGATAGTAGCTACTTATACAGAAGCTTATGACCATTGATTTTATGCTAGATATAATACTGAAATACTGGTTATGAAAAACAATGTAATTTTTAAGGTTAAAAATTCAACGAAGTGAAGTTGCAGTAGATCAATTGCATTGTAACGATTCTGGTTACAGGGATGATTCCAAAATTGTATAATTTGCGACGTAAATATGTTACAGCTTAATCGTAGCTTATAAAATTAAAAATTAAGTTATTTAAAAAAATAACAATAAATCAACATCCAAAACATGCCCTTGGATCGATAGACGAAAACAACAAGTAGTTTCAAATCTAGGACTATCATTCCAATCACCAACGTAGTTTCAAATCAAGGCTAGTTATAATATTTATTTACATTCAAAATTGGGTCAACGAACACTGACTGCTACGTGAGTTTCTCCGCAAACTCCCAACACAATTGACAGAGGCTGCGACTGCAACGAATGCACGTAATCAACGAATAAAATAAGGGAGTGACAAAATGAACACCAACTTGATCACGTAGCAGTGTCCAATTGCTCGCATGGACCATGAGGACGTGACTTATTAGGCATCGTACGCACATGTATGTAAAATACTTTCATTTAAACCGTGCCTACAAAAGATTTCAAAAGAGATTTAAGAGGATGACGAGAGACAAGCGTAGAAATTGATGGTACCGTGTTGGAGGTACTTATCGATAGTTTCACAATGACCCTAATATGAACAATTAGGCAAATATTTGGTTTTGGAATGACGTTAGTTACATGGGATATTGACATTACAGGAAGTTGAAGACAGATAAAATTGTTATTATTGTGGGAAAATGACGAACAGCGATTAAAATAATATCACACGTAGAAAATGTGATATACAAGTAATTGAGCAAATAGTTCAAACGCACCAAAACCATTCCTAATATTTTCGTATAGAAGAAGAAGAAGAAATCGAAAAATTCGCCCCAACTGCATTTTGTTCCAATGAACCTCATGAACATAGTTATTAGTTTTATAGTTAACCTCGTTTATGGAAGATTTCAAGAATGCTGATAAATATACAATAACACGGATTACTCAAATATGTTACAAAAACACACTTGTATTTTCAAATCTATGTATTAAAACTGTATTAAACAAGTTGTCATTGATTACAGAACAGAAATTACGAAAATATTATGCTAATTTAAAATCAGTGGTAAAAAGATAATTCAACTGGCCAATTCAGTATTCAATATAGCCGAGATCTCGGTTAAATAAAACAAAGCTAATTGGTTATTGTAACTATTTTAGAAGAAATGAAAATAAAGTTAGTTATAACTATTAGGTATAAAATATGAGTAAATTGTTAAGTAGTGCAGGCAAACCCAAACCCCAAACTTTTCATTATTCGTCCGAAGATAGTTATTGCCAAAAAACGTTCGACATGAATCTTTTAATTGATACCATTCATTTTAAAAGCTAGGAAGTTGGAAATTGTTTGTAAGTCCGCAAAGCGTCAAAGGCAAAAAGGTCATATTTTTATTTATAGTACACATACCTACATTTTAATAAACCTTTAAATTATTCAAAGACAACGTGAACTGAAATCTCAAACGTAAACAAATACCTACGTGCTAGAACACGAATAGGCTCTCGCCTATTTCAATTAGTTGTTTACCTAGGTACACATGCGTTCTTATATGCAAGTTTAAAAAATAATACAATAACATTCAATGTACAAATAAGTTTGTTGTGAGAATTATAAATAACAACACATTTGCCAAAATTTCAAATGCGTTTCTGTTTAATTGGAGATTTGTTTTTGTTATTACTGATATCTTTTATACAATTATATAATTAACACAAGTATACGGTTATCTTAACTCTTTTTAAATTAGTATAATGACAACGATAAAGCGTTAACTATTAGTTATTTTTAGTAAACAGTAAACACCACCGGGGTAACAAAATAGGTCAAACAATATCAGTCATATCCTTAAAATATGAATTAAAATTATTTTACTGTTGTTTGCATCAACGTTATCAATATTAGACATTGTATCACATAATCACCAAACACGTTTTCTATAATATTTTAATTATTCCTGATAACTAAAATGCGAAGCAGACTAATAAGTAGATATTAAAAATTCTATGCTGCCAAATAGACCGTTATCTACCAAATGACTATGACTTAATTTTGCTCAAGAAAAAATAACAACATATTAACGGCAAAATATAGAATTTCACGACTATTTTTTTCATTCTGCATAGAAATCTCTCTTCTACAACAAAACCACATGGGCGTCCGAAGATAATTTGCCAATATGGCAAGCGATATTAAAAATTGAATGAAAATTCCCTACACCATCCGTGTCAATAGAGGCACAAAATAACAATGTAACCTAATAAGATACATAATATGTTATAGCATTCATCGACTAGCGGTCGCTGAACTGAGAACCTTGAATATTTAATGTCGATATTGTATATTGTATGGATATTTTAGTGAAAGTTGTCTACATAGTTTTTCAAATAGCCATTCTAGTTTAACTCTACCATATTCATATTTAATGCTAATATATATGACTTGTATTTGGAGAGTTGCAGACAACCTAACTACCTAACGAAGTTGGAGTATTTTTAAGTCTACACAAAAACTATTTTCTTCGAACATAGTATTAGATTACGTCTTAGTTATTTTAAAATGTTTGTTCGATTATATGCATTTATGTAATACCTACCATTTTCATGATAAAAATATGTAAATAACTTTAGTTGATAACATTTGTTGAGACGTATATTATCGGACGTTGTTCTTCATATTTTTATAATTACGTACGTCATATTTACATGAAAAAAATTGTATCATGTCCTTAGTAATAAATAATTAGTATTCGTCAAAAAAGTGTCTAGAATATAAATAAAATACAGTGATAAACATTTTAATAAATGTAACATAGTGGATTTTATTTAATTTCTACTGTTGTTAAGCGGCAAGATAAAGAAGAAAAAAATAAGTTAAGTTAAGATCGAACTAATAAACAATGTATATGTATATTGCTCTGTTATATTGTGTTTATTGTTTTAAGAAGAAACATACATATACATACAGAAACTGAATATAGAAGAGAAATTGTTTTTATATTCCTAATTAATCACTATTCAAATCCTACCCGTCTTAACCTAACCTAACATAACCTCACTTAACCTGATTTATAACGGTTTCCTCGTTTCGACACGTGCTGGTACCGGCATAGTATAAACAACGCTAATAAAATATCAGTAATGTAAATGTTAATATTTCTGCAAACAAAACATATTCTATTTATATAACGAAAATAAACAGCGTTATTTACAATATTGTTATGTTATGAGATAATGTTGTATGATGATAATAAGCTGCGTATCACTGAAGATTCAGTGGAAAATTTGATTCGCCTGTTCCGCCAAAATATGTTCGGTCGGGGCTCGGGGCCAATTTTAAATATTATATTAATATTCTTTTACTGTGTTTTACATACGATTAGAAATGATAATGTAGTATAACAACCCCGGGTTCGATCGAAAAATGAAAAATAAACGTAGTTGTGGCCAGAAATATATGATCGTCATAAGGAATACCTACGTTGTATACATCTATTTTTAATTGACCGGAAGGCGCTGGCTACTAACTTTAAAGAGGGGAAGTATGGTTTAATTTTATAAAAACAAAAACAGAGTAAATACACCTAACTTTATAATTTATCTACAACAGTCTTCAAATTAAGTATGTGACAAATAGAATGAACAACAAAAACATTAACAACCATTTAACATAAAATGAGAGTGCCAGGCTCACCTAGAGCTCCTGTGGGGAAAGAGCATGGCAGAGAAACCCACGATCGTTGCTCTAACTACCCAAATATAAATATAAAACAACCGCTAACAAAAGGCATACATTAAGATCCTTTGCTAATGATAAATAAGACCTGACTCATTTAATGTGTCACTAAATATCACATCACTCAAATTAGACATACAAACTTCCAGGTAAAACTGAAGAGGTTATAATAATAACAACAACAACAATAACAATAACAATAATAATAATAATAAGTAAGGTACTGGAGTCCCATACGGGAGGCAATCCAGCTATGAGTTGAGGTTTCGGAAGATCTGTTTTAGCAATTCTTTTTTTGTATTTAATATCATGGGCGAAAATGTTCGTTAATAATAATTGTAACAATTTTATCTTAGAAAAATATACGCCCCTGAGCGTAAGACAATGAAGGCTAAACATACACAGGATTTTTATCATGAAACATCTATAATCATCACAATCATAAGATTACATAGAACAATTAACAACAAAGTAATTAGAGAATAATTTATCTGCTAACTAATACCGGTTAAACACTTAATTTTTCACTACTTTGTCACACTGCCCGCAGATCGTCTTACTACCCATCTTCACACTGTTCTCACTTCAACTATTTTGGCTTCCTTCCAGAATTCCCCACCTAAGCGTTTGTTTTTGCGCTTCATTCTACCAACTGTCAATATTACTATATTATTATTATACAACACCCACGTAATAGGTGACGTCGAAGTTGATACGATAAGTATGGTTTTGCACAATAAGGAAAAGTTTCTCAAATGGTGTACGCTGGTTTATATTAACTTTGTTTCTAGTGCATGCCAAACAGCTTCCAATTGTCTGACGCATTTGATTCGAAACAATGAATTTTGAACCTTCTGAAGTAGAGCATTATATCAAAATGCGTTGGACTATTGGAAATTGTTTTAGACTGCGTTATCTGCATGAATTCATTGTCGCCAATTTTTGGGATTACACATAACA